GAGGCATCACCGGGTTTCTGTCGCTGCCAGGCCATTTGGGGAGTGGAGCAGAGAACAGAAGCACACGTATGTATCTGCACTTTGTCACCTGCTCTTTCTCTCTTTCCCTCACTGCTTCTGTCTCTATGCCTCACGTGTAAATAACTATTAAAACGAAAACAATGAACAAACAGAATAGTAAATTCTAACAAGCAGTCAATCTAAGATAAGTCCAGACAAAATTCTTAAAAACACAATCATCCTAAAGGATGTAAAATTTGTTAGGTAGAAAAAAGTCTGAGGATGGGAGCAGCACAATGGTGTGGCACATTGATCATCAGCCTGAAGCACTCGCATCCCATATGGAAGCCAGTTCAAGTCCTGGCTGCTTCACTTCTGCTCTAACTCGCTGCTCATGTTCTGTGAAAGCAGCACAGTTTGCTCCAAGTACTTGGGTCCCTGAAACCACATGGGAAACACAGAAGCTCCAGGCTCCTGCCTTCCTATCAACCCAGCTCCAGCCATTGAAAGTGAGTCAACAGACAGACAATCTCTGTCTCTTCTCCTTTTCTTTTTCTTTTGCTTTTTTTTTTTTAAGATATACTTATTTTTATTGGAAAGTTAGATTTACAAAGAGGACAGACAGAGAGGAAGATCTTCCATCTGCTGATTCACTTCCCAATGGCCACAATGGCAGGATCTGAGCCAATCCAAAACCTGGAGCCAGAGCTTTATCTGGGCCTCCAACACATAGGTGCAGGATCCCACAGCTTCAGGGTGTCCTCGACTGCTTTCCCAGGCCCCAAGCAGGAGCTGGATGGGAAATGCAGCAGCGCCCAAATGGGATCCAGTACATGCAAATAGAGGATACCCATTAGGCTATCACACTGGGCCCCTGTCTCTAACATTCAAGAAAAAACGAAAAGTAAAGAAAACATACTGACTATGTTAAAAGTCAAGTACTAGAAACAAATGTCTTTATTTACTCCATTTCTTGCTAGTAGCAGGAAGGATAAAAATGAAGTGGGTTCATTCTAGAGTCACAGAAGATAATGAGTAATGTATTTCCTATGTATAAAGTTCGTAAGATAAAAGGCATAAATTGAAATCCAGAATTCCCTTTTGGAGAATCAAATGAGAAGACAGCAGAAACAACATTCCCGTCTCTCCCTTGTCATATCTCACACCAACCCCCTTCTGACCCTCCAAAAATCTTGAAGGGTATTATAATCTTGCTATGTTCTTTTATCAAATATTATTTTTCCAAGCTAGGATTAAAGTAAACAGGATTTGAGAGAGAAATATCTTTAAAGTAAAGCATATCTTAAAACATCATTTTTATAACATATTACCTAATCAAAAAGGTCAACAAGGGAAAATATGGACAATTATCGTAAAGAACTTCCAATTTTCTCTGTTAACAAGGTTTATGGTTGTTCACAAAAGCTAGACAAAATACAAAAGGAATCAATGACTGACCAGAAATGAAAAAAACAGAATCAATGCCAGTGGTCTATCTTTATGGAATGAACACAAGAAAACTTGCATTGTGTTTATATTCTATATATTCTGTCAAATGCTGTAACATCAGTTTAGTGATAAAAAAAAAAATAGCTCCTTAGAAATGTGTAAGGTGTTAAGAGTTAACTTCAATGGATCTTTTTAAGGTATTTTGTGATTAAGGAAAGGCATTCTTTCTTGAAATTATCTGAAATCTGTTATAATTGCTTTTACATGCTGAAAAACAATCTAAAATCTCTTTGTTTTATAGGGAGAAGAAAAAAGTACTTGATCTTCACAAGAAACAAATTTTTGAGATGGTAATATAATACTTTTTTTTATAAAGATTTATTTACTTTTATTGGATAGTCAGATATAAAGAGAAGAAGAGAGGCAGAGAGGAGGAGCTGTCTGCTGATCCAATCTCCAAGTGACTGCAACACCCAGAGCTGAGCTGAACTGCTCTGAAGCAAAGAGCCTCTTCTGGTCTCCTACATGGGTACAGGGTCCCAAGGCTTTTTGGCCATATTCTACTTCTTTCCCAGGCCACAGGCAGGGAGCTGGATGAGAAGCAGGGCAACTGAGATTAGAAGCAGTGCCCATATGGATCCCAGTACATGCAAGGCAAGGACTTTAGCCACTAAGCCACCGCACCGGGTCTGGTAATATAGTACTCTTTATCTAGAAAGGCTACCCAATGGCACTACACAAATTTTTATCTAACTCCGAAGTTTAAAAAAAAAACTTAACTTTTACCTAGCCAATGATTCATATTAATATACTTTATAAAAATTCATTTCTATGACTATAAGGAAACTACAATTTTGGAATGCTATCCACATTACACACCTTTCTCTTACCCCTACACCTCCAACAAACTATCAGTGAAAACTACCACGGTGCTTTCCACAGTATGAGTATTGCTAATGATGATAAGAAGAAAAATAAATAACTAAGCACATGTACTTAACCACCAGGTTGTGGCTAAAAGCTAAATTTATTGAAACCCAAATTTATGTTAGTCCTAAACAAATGTAAAATCCATACACCGGAGCCAGCACTGTGGCACAGCAAGTTAAACCACTGCCACAGCAGGTACAGTATCCTAGCTGCTCTACTTTTGATCCAAATGCCTGCCGATTTCCCAGGAAAGCAACGGAAGACGGCCTCAGCATCTGGAACCCTGCCACCCAAGTGGGAGACCTGGAAGAGGCTCCCAGTTAGAGCCTGACCCAGGCCCACCCAGAGTAGCTATCTGAGGATGGACGATCTCTCTCCCTCTCGGTCTTTCCCTCTCACCCTGTTGCTTCCTCACTGTTTCTTCATCTCACTCTCTAACTTTGCCTTTCAAATAAATAAATAAATTTTTCCTTTTTCAATGCAGTTTTGTTCATAATGAAATTTTCACTAACCCTGCATAGACATGTATTTCAAAATGTTCTACTCCAAAAAAATAAACTTAATTTCCAGTTTTTCACACACTTTATAAGTGCCTTTGTATAAATATCTTAGTCTACAAAAATTTTCTGAGCTATCATTCATCAACATTTGAAAATTCTGAGTTCTTTTCTGTAATCATGAAGTGGAAATCCCATCTTACAATACCAATTTTTTTTTTAAATCTGAAGACAAAATGGCCCAAAGAATTTTTTTCTGAGACTCCAGATAGGATATAAAATAAAATCTTTATCTTTCGACCACTGTAGTTACATACAGGAGAGGATTGGGGAATTGTTTGCTTTCAAATTATTAACCAGGTAAAAAGGATTATGACACAGAAAATAACAACATGAAGGCATCTACTGTTGTCTGATGTGAATTACGTTGTGATCGCAACATGCGGCAAACCGAGAGTAAGCCCTCAGATTCTGAAGAACAAAGTACTTAAATTATTCACAAGAGCCTTCAAAATTAAGGAGGATGGTCATTTGCTCTAAGGATTTCAATTTCTGAAAAGTGAATACACTTTACTGCCAACACAAATTCAAAATACTAAGAAAAATAACCCTGTTTTGAGAACTATTAATAAATTTCAAAAAGAACTCGTTTGAACAATCTCCCTAGCCAGTCACATCTATATAAAATAATCTCTGCCCAACGTAACACATCAGTAACGAATCAGTTGAATTTATTCTTAAGAAAGCCTGAGAGCTTCTCTGGAGTTTAGAAAGGAAAAAGCCCTTTCACATCTCAAATCTGGGTTTCCCACCCTCAGTATTTAATGACATTTTGGGCCAGGTAATTCTTTGATGTAGAGGGTAGTTCTGTGCATTGTAGAATGTGTCAGCAGCACTTTCCCTAGACCTAATCATTAGGTATCAGTAGTATTGCTATTTTCCAAATCCCATGTTGGCTGTGATAATCAAAAATATCTCTAAAGTATTTTCCTACATTCCACGGACCCCCATCCAGGAGAAGATTTATTCCTACTTGACAATCAATACCTTATAAAAAAAATTTACCTATATTATATGGACAACAGTTCTTTTAAACTGTCATGCCAACACTAACAGCACTGAAAAGGGGAAGAAAGAGAACAAGCTAACATAAATAGGCCAGATAAAAGTCTAATCAACTCAGGTAATCTAGTCAATGAGTAACATAGCTAAAAAGGCAAGGCATCCAATATTGAGCACATTATTCTGGCCATCCTAGCATTTGTCGCCAAACTTATGATCTATGTTCTAGGTTTCCTATAATAAATAATCTAAAAAATAAGTGATGAACAAATTACTGACATCCTTAAACCAATGAACAAATGAATCAAAGAGATGTCCCAAGAGGAATGCAACTTAGAAATACTCTAGGACATTAACAGATACATGAGAGCAGATTTTATCCAAAGAATTCTAAAACAAAATGTACTGACAGAATCATCCAAAAACTGTCTCACTTTCTTCATGATTTATTCACTGCAAAGCGTCCTTATTCTCTCAAGCCACAACAATCACAAAAATCACTTAAGAGTCCTTACCCTTATAAAGCATTACCAATGAAGACCACAGTGCTAATAGCCAACGTGTTACAATCTTTGGAGGGTAGCTCTAAACTGATGGCAATTGTGGGCAAAAATTAAGCACCGAAGGAAAAAAAGAAAGAAAGAAAGACTAATTACAAAAAAGGAAATGTGGAAAAGGACTGGCATAGCACACAGTGCTCTTCTGCATTTTAAAGAAGAGCGTTTGTCTTATCCAGCAAAACTACCTTCAGAGAGCCTGCCATATACCTACCTGCAGATGGGGTTCAAGGGTTTTCACTCCCACTAACATAAGTGACTAAGCAAGGATGCCCTCACAGTGTGAATCCAATTATACCAGTCGCCTTTGGAAATGTATCGGTAATCCACTATTATAATCTTATGCTTTTTAATGACCAAGACTTTTTCATTTATTTCTAAACACTGCTGCTAAAAGTAAAACTTTCCAAGGAAAGCAACAAAAACTGACAGAGCATAGATAAAAAAAAATTTCTTAGGCCACAAGTAGATAATCCAGCATGATACTTTAAAAGCTAGAACTTACCCCAATGGCAGAAATCAGAAGAAACCACAAAGAGATTACTAGGATCCGCTAGATATTTACTGAAGAGTTTTCCGAATTCCTGTTCTTTTGACTCACTCAGAGCTCCAACCAGTACAGGAATAATGGTAAACTCATCCTTATGGCTTAAAGAAAACAGAAAAGGGGGAGAAAAAAAGGCAAAACAGTCATTCTACATGTTTTAGAAACAGTTTCTAGAATTCTGGCACCAGAAAGTGGAATATTTATTAACAGTGGTAGGGATAACATACAACATTACTGCTGTAAATTAAATGTTAAAAGGAATACAATATAAAAAAACTACTGAAGAAAATTACAGAAATGTATACAGCTTTACCTAGCAAGCTATTTGACCACGAAATAGAGTAGTACCCTCAAAAACAAAAGTCCATTAGACCTTCACCAATTCAAGAATTGACAGCTATCCACCAACACTTTCAGGATCGTAAGAGCATTAAAGCCGTCCCCACCTAATTTAATCTTTTCATTATAAATACCATCACTTCGAGCACTTGTTCTGTCAGCCTAACAAATGAAAACTACAAATCTTTGTTTTCTTCAGTAATATTCACCAACTACACTTGAACACCTATCCTATTGATCCCAATACACAAGTTGGAAATACAACTCAAATTTCATTGGTAAATAGGTTACACAAAGAATTCAAGCACTCACTTCTAACAGCAAGAAAAAGACATCCTGCCCACCCACAGTTTTGACGGCATATCTGCCAGTCCCTTTTTCACTCTGTGCTGATAGATTTATGGAAAAGGAACAAAATTAATTAGTAAAGAATGATTATGACATATAGTAGAAAGAGATGCATATCAAAAATCTTTTCTTAATTTTAATTTCTCTGAAATCATACTTACATACCAAGGCATTTCACAATCATCTTGGAAAATGGAATTAAAAGACAAATTTATTTTGGAATAAAAAATTTTGAAATCTGTGCATATTCAGGGTATTCAAAATGTTCAGGAAAATGTGTAAGATGAAAAAAAAACTGCATGGTTTTCAGTTATTGGCACCAACATAAACTTAGCTTTTAATACTATTTTTCACAAACTTTTTTAAGTACCCTCACATATTCAATACTAGTTATATTCTGTTTCCAAACTTGAAATTTTAGATCATGAATCATGCTTGTCTTTTTCTGAAAAGGACTTTAAAAACAAAAACAAAACAAAACAAAATCACCATTATACTAAACGCTTTCTAATATGATACTTTGGCACTTAGCTGATATAGGAAAAAGGGAATTTATACGAGGATTTTTTGAAAACACAAAGTTTAAGTAATTCCAATTTAACTGTAGCCCAGCTGCATACAGCTCAAGTCAGAGCACCCAAGCTCCTCCCCCAAAGCAGCCCCCTTACCCTGGTCAACTGTGAAATAAACAGATCATACAGATCTCCAATCCCTCTGCAATGCAGGGGCTCCATGGGCAGAATCTGCATCTATGGGGTAAGAAAAAAACAAGGAAGCTGGCAGAGGAAGCTGCCATGGGGACGTCTCTCCTCTGACTCCTAGTAGTCTAAAAGTAACTGCCTCTGTGATAGGGGTTCTCTGAGTAAAGAGTAATCACCAACTGAAAGAAAGAATTTCACCTGTTAGTAAAAATGTAGGAAGACTGTTTACAACTCTTCTACCCTCCACTACTACTATATAAACAGCTACACATGTCCAAAAGCAATGAGGATATGGAGCAAAAACAATTACCTTAGAGTAGAGTGAACGAGAGGCCAGAAGAAGCAGGTTTCAATGTCAACCTCACACAATGTTAGCAAAGAGTTGAGATCGTAAACTGAGAAGGGATTTCCTTCTCTATAAGATAAACTTCATGACAGTATCTCTGAGGATAGTCTTCAAAAAGCTCACCAAAAATACTTATTGTAAAAGAATTATGCAGGGACTCAAAAATTTTTAGAAAACAAATCTTTTAATTTGGCCTTGTCACAGAAGCCTAGCAGCTGAAAAGTCCTCGCCTTGTACACTCTGGGATTCCATATGGGCACTGGTTCCAATCATAGTGGCCCTACTTCCCATCTAGCTACCCCTGCTTGTGGCCTGGGAAAGCAGTTGAGGACAGCCCAAAGCCTTGGGGCCCTGCACCTGTGTGGGAGACCTGGAAGAGCTCCTGGCTTCAGATTGGCACAGCATTGACCGTTGCGGTCACTTGGGGATTGAACCATCAGATGGAAGATCTTCCTCTCTGTCTCTCCTCCTCTATTTCTGACTTTCCAATAAATAAATAAATCTTAAAAAAAAAATCATGTTTGGGATCATCTCAGATGAAATTTCTTTGGAGATCCCTCCAACTGAACTGCTGATCTCAGAACCCCAATCATGAAGAGACTATGTCAGCCAGTGGAGTCTGAATAGGTTTCATTGCGATTGGAACGGCAAGATTGGCAGCAATTCAGAACTGGTGAACTATCAAAACTGCTTGAGCAGGACCCTCAGAGTGTGCCTCACATCAGGGACCTGGGATGGGTGGGAGACAGTGTGGGGCTTGGCTTCTCCCTTTGTTTCTCCTCTGACCCCAGATACAGGGGGAAAAAATGATATTAGTGCTGGACTCAGAACCCTAACCAAGAAAAGAGAAGATAGAACAGGTCAACCAACCATCTCAGCTATGATGGACTATGTCAATCAGTGGATTCTTCAAGGACCTCACAGTGCTTGGAGTGGCAAGATTGGCAGCAATTCATAACTGTTGAAATATCAAATCCACTTGAGCAAGAACCTCAGGGACCTGGGGAGGGTGGGAAATTGGGTGGGCCTTCTCCCTTAATACCCCCCTTTAAACATGAAGGAAACAATATGGAAAAAATACTAGTCTTACCCACTTTCCTGTAGCTCTTGAACCTTTTTAAATAATAAAAAATATTTTTTTAAAATGATATTAGTGTGGAAACAATGGTCTTACCCACTTTCCTATAGCCCTTAACCCTTTGTACCCTAATCAACCAAGTAAGATTATTTTTAAAAAATAATAATAAAATAAAAATAAATAAAATTCACATTCTATATTTGGACTCTTGGTGACTGAGTGCAGAATCTCATCCCCAGGGCACTTAAGTTACGCAGCTACTTGGAGCACCCGCATCCCATGGCAGAATGCCTTGGCTTCTGCCCCAGCTTCCTAATAACACACACTCTGGGAGTCTTAGACAACAGGTGATGATTCAAGTACTTGGGTTTCTGTCACCCCTGTGGGAGACCCAATCTGAGCTCCCGGCCGCTGATGTCAGCCTAGCCCAGTTCTCTCTGCTGCAAGTATTCAAGGAGTAAACCAACAGATGGAAGACATCTATCTCTTCTTTTTCCACTCTGCTTCAGTCTTTCAAGATAAAATAAATGAATAAAAGTTTCAAAAAAAAAAAGGAAAAAAAAGCTATAGCCAGCAAATATTTGTTAAACCATATGAATGACAATGCAATTAAAAAACAAACAAAAACAAAAAAGTGCCCTCAAGGAAAACTCCGAAATTGGATAAAACCATCCAAAACAATCATTTCTACATTCTGGAAATTAACCAAAGGCAAAATTATTTGATGACATTCATAATTGAAAAACTAACAAGACTTCTTGGTAAAAAATCATAGCAGTCTGGCATCTTTCCAGGAACTGAACATATCCACTGCAACCCAACCCCACTGACAGGAAAATTCCATCACTGTGAGGTTGGTTGTGAAAGTGAGCAGTTTTAATGTCAAAGCAGATAATTTGGATGTGCAGCAATTTGAAAAAAAGTCCACACTTTATTGGAAACAAAAAAGCTTGCAGTCCTTATAGCCTGGGATAGCTACACCAGTTAAGGTGGCAACCTGAGGACCAGACGAAAAATCCTCATACATGCATTGAGACACCTAAAACCAGTGAACACAAAATGAATAAGGCAAACATGAAAACCAACTGAATTCTGAATGTGCTCCCAGAAGCACACAGAATCCCTCAACAGCCGGTGAAAGCCTAACTGGCTCAGAGGGATTAACCTTCAAGCAATTGTTAGCTAAGTAGTAGCCCATGCAATTGCAGGTGAGAATCATTGAAAGCCAAGCTCAAAACTAAAAATAGGGACTGGCATGATGGTGGAATGGCCCTCACTTTGCAAGCACCAGGATGGCCCAAAATCATGGGACCCTACAACTGCGTGGGAGACCTGGAAGAAGCTTCTGGCTCTGGCTTCAGATCAGCTCAGCTCCAGCCGTTTGTGGCCACTTGGCGAGTGAACCAGCTGAAATATCTTTTTCTCTGTCCCTTTGTAAATCTTCCTTTCCAATAAACTAAAAAGAAGAGGGCGAGGAGTCTGGAGTAGTGGTGAAGACACCACTTGAGAAATGTACTAATCGCAGTCAGGAGGCCTGGGTCTTTTTAGCCAGGTAAAAGAAGGGGAAGGCATTAAACATTGGTTAATGAAACCTGTTCCCAAAGTAACCTCCCTCATTTTGGCCATCCTTTCCACCACGATTATGTCTCTGTGATTTCCTTTTATCCTCACAGTGCTTCTATCCCTCTCATGCACAGTTAATGTACTCCCAAAGTTCTTACAGAAACAAGTGACTACCACTGCCCAAGCTTCCGTGTACGAACATCACTTGCCTGCTCTTGTTGGACCATCCAATCCAGAGTATGGGCACCCCACATATCATCACCTCATGCCCACACCCCACCTCCCTCTCTGCACTCGAATCAGGACTGAGTGGCAGAGGTCCCAGAGCCTTTCTGACTCCTGTCGGCAAGCAGAATAAAGTCCTGGATAAACTTCTTAGCCCCTGCGTTCTTTCAAGACAAACAAGCACAACCTCTGAACTGCTTCCCAACCAATGAGCCTGCAGAGACGGAGGGCCAGAGGCTTGAAAAGCTCAGCTCCACAACTCTTCATGACCCTTACCTGACTGACTTCTGCTACACAGTCAACAGCTACATAAGCTTTCTGCCCTCATGTGTGTGTATACGTGTTTGTGTGTGTGTGTGTGTGTGGTAACCTCCGTTAACTGTATTACCTCAAATAAAATCATTTTGGCTTTAGTTCATATCCCAACTCCTGTCTGTTTTGATCCCTTTTTCCTTATATTCTCATGGCATAAAGCATAATAAAAATAAAAATTGATGTAAACTGCTAAATAAATAAATAGAATCTGAAGGCAAAATATATATATATATATATATATATCCTGAAATGCTATACGATGCAAAATGTCATTCTCTAGGCAAAAAATGTAAGCCAGCAAAGAAACAGCAAAACGTAACACATACTCAGAGGGAAGCATTTCCAGCAGGAATGTATCTGAATAAGATTGGATATTGAATTCAATAAAGATGTTAAAACAATCAGTTTAAATGTAGTCAAAGAACTAAAGGAAGTCATGCTTAAGTATTTTGCAATTAAGTAACTAACCAAATAAGAGTACATGGCGTAATAACCTCTACCCACAGCGAAGACATCTGATATCGGTGCCAGTCCCAACAGCACTACTTCCAATCCAACTTCCTGCTAATGGCCTGGGAAAGCAGAGGAAGACTGCCCAAGTGCTTGGGCCCTTGCATCCATGTAGGAGCACTGGAAAAAGCTCCCAGCTCCTGGTTTCAGACAGCTCAGCTCCAGCTACTGCAGTAAATAAATAAGTAAATCTTAAAAAACAAAACAAAACAAAAAACCTAGATGATCTGAAGTACTAACAATAATCCACACAATTAAAGATTATATATATATATATAAAATCAAGACAGAGTAAAACCACTGAAGATAAAGACATTTAGAAAACTGTAGCCAACACCAAGCATGCTAGTTTGATTACAATTAAATCTCAAAAATGGGACAGTGAAAAATAGAAGAAATAAGGCTGGCACTAGGGCAAATGCTGCAATGCCAGCATCCCCTATGAAAACCAGCTCATGTCCTGGCTATTCCACTTCCCATCAAGCTCCCTGATTGTGGGTTGAGAAAGTAGTGGAGGACGGCCCAAAGCCTTGGGAATCTGCATCCATGTGGGAGACCCAGAAGCAGCTCCTGGCTTCTGGCTTCAAACTAGCCCAGTTTCAGCTAATGTAGCCATGTAGGGAGTTGATCAGCAGATGGAAGCGCGCAGCTCTCTCTCTCTCTCGCTCTCTCTCGCTCTCTCTCTCTCTGTAACTATGTCCTGAAGGATGACTGACAAGTAGAGATGGATGAGAAGCAAATTCAGAACTGAGGTGCCACAGCAGACCAGCAGCACCACAATTCCAGAAAGGAAGTGAGGGCATTGGGTATCCAGGACCTTCAGACTAAGGTCTCCACTGACACCTGATCAAATTTCCAATTACAGAATCAAGCAAAATACAAGCAGATGAGGGTAATTTGTTGGGCAGCAAGAGTACCTGGAAATGGGGGGCTGCTGTAACAGCATCCTAAAACTTATGACACTGGCTTTTGGGAAACAGAAGCTGGCAGAAGTTAGAAATGCAAGGAGACTTTCAGTATCTTCCATACTGGAAGAGTGGTAAGAAAAGCATTACAAGAGGCTGAAGAAAGGTCACTCAAATTACAGTTACAGAACAATTAGCAAAACTGTTACAAAGCACTTTTGAAGATTGAAGATATACCTAATAAACCTGCAAATCAGGCCAAGGAGATACAGAGCTTGCTCACACAGCTTAGCTTAAGAAGGCACAAGAAGAAAACCAGGAGCTAAAAATCAGATTGGTTAGCTTGCAAGCACAATTTAAAACAAATATTTCTAACACGGAATTGCTTGGTTAGAATGCAACTATTTCTCATCACAAATCTGTCGAAACAACCAACATTTCCTCCAACCCCACCCCCCAGGAGAACAAACAAAACAGCAAGACAAACATGAAACTCAGAGCACTGCCTGTCAAATCATAAACTGAGAATATGTCTCCAAGATCCTTTATTAAGACCTCAGAAAGACTTAAGGCATTGTTTGCACAGCTTGTCAAGTAGAAAAAATGTTTCCAAGAAACTTCCTGGGTAATAAGCGTTAGCAGATAAAAGAAGGAAGTTCAGGTGTTCTATGGCTTAATAGCTATGCCATGGTAAACTATAGGTAATGCGTTATTTTTTATAAAGCCACATGACAAGATTATTAACATATTATCTCTAAATAACTTAGAAATGGGAAAATCAGTATGTTCACATTTTTTCAAACATCATGTGATATACATATGTATCAAAACAAACGAGTTCCATAAATGAGTCCAATTTGTAAGAGTTAAGCATAAAAATTAAAAATAAGAGGAATTTACAGGATCCTTCAGCCCTGTCTCAGAAAGAACTGAGATGTGACTACAGTATAACAGAAGGTATTTATATAAACTAATATACAGAAAACCAACAAACTGGTTAAAAAAGTTCAACTAGCCTGAACCAAAAGAAACATCGTCAAACCAAAGAGGATTTCAAATGGGCAAATATATAAAGCACACTATGACAAGTGCAGAACTGAGGGCACAGCACACTAGCAGCACCATAGTTCCAGAAAGGAAGTGAGGGTACCAGGTGTCCTGGAACCTTTGGACTAAGTCCACCTGCAGACAAACTGTCTCCACTGACACCTGATCAAATTTCCACAAATCAATCAAAATACAGGCATCTGAGGGTAATTTGTTGGGCTGTAAAGTTGTAAATTATTTTTAATTTTTAAATTTTATTTTATTTGAAAGGGTCATAAAGAGACAGAGGCAGAGCCGGAGAGACCTTCCATCAGCTGATCACTCTCCAAACAGCTGCAACAAACAGAACTGGGTCAGGCCAAAGCGAGCAGCTTGGGATTTCACCTGGGCTTCCCACATGAAGGTACAAGCCCACACACTTGCGCCATCTTCTATCACCTTTCCAGGCCATTAACAAAGAACCGGAACGGAAACTGTGCAATCAGGAAGGGAACTGGCATTTTCTTAGGAGATTTGCATTGTAAGCAGTGTCTTGATCAATGATGCCACAATGCCAGCCCAAAGCCCATTTTTTAGAGAAAAGCAAAATTGATCCAGAGAGCAGAAGCAAAAGCCCAAAAGATCCAGCCAACATATGAAAAAAAAAAAGTTACAAAACAACTACAAGAACCAGCACAAATCAGGGAACATCTTGTGATCAGAATTCCGTTGTAGCAGAAACCACTATGTGATGCTTCCATTTGTTCCTTCTCCGATGGGAGTGTCCTCTGTGATTAACCATCCCCGTGTCGAACTTTTATACTGCATATACAGGGTAGTAATGCCTGTCTTCTCAGTTCAGAGGTCTCCAAATCAAAAAGAAGTGCATAAAAGGAGCCTCATTTACATTCTAACTTAATGCAGACCACGTGGTAATTTCTGGGCTGCTGGAAGGGATGGGTACTTTATCACATATGGTGAGGAAGAAATGTGATACACCATCTGCAAGGAAGGCAACAACCCCTTTATAAACACGCACTATTCCTCCCAAAAAAGGTGATAATCAATTTCTCCATCCTTAAGCCTTAGACGACACAACGATTTTTTTGAGCTTTGAAAAAGAGAATGTAGGGAATGTGCTGAGGGATAGCACATAAAGCTGCCACCTTCAATGCTGGCATCTCATATGGGTACCAGTTCAAGTCCCAGCTACACCACTTTTGATCAAGCTCCCTGATAATGTGCCTAGGAAAGAAGGCTAGGTAAAAGATGGCTAGGTGCTTGGGCCCCAACACCCATGTAGGAGAGCTGGAAATTTCTGGTTCCTGGGTTTTTAGATCAGCCAACTCTAGCCATCGTGGTCATTTGGGGAGTAAACCAGGAAGGGGCACCTCAAGTCTGTATCTCTCCCTCTCTCTGTAACTCTGCCCTTCAAATAAATAAACAAGATTGTTTTTTTTTTAAAAAAAGGGAAGGAAGGAAGAAAGGCAAAGAGGGAAAGGAAAGGGAAAGGAAGGAAAGGAAATAGTTTAATATGTATAAATATATATTAATATGTTTTAATATTTCAATTAACAAATCCTGTCAGAACTTAAAACACTGGGGGTAGTGCTGTATAGTGAATTAAACAACCACCTGCAAGCGCCAACATACACATGAGTACATAAGCAACCTCACTTCTGCAGAAAGCAGGAGATGTCTCTAATGTTTGGGCCTGGGCCACCCTCACGGGAAGTATCAAAGAAATTCCTGGGTCCCATCTTTGGCCAGGCACACCCTTAACCATGTGGACATTTGGGAAGTGAATCAGCAGAAGGAAACCTCTCTCTCTTTTTAAAATAAATAAATCTTAAAGAATATAATAAACAACTCCAAACAAGAAATGAAATCTTACAAAATTTCAAATTATAAATGGAACATCAAAACTGTATGAAGGAAATAAAAGGAAAAATAAGAAAAATGTGACCCACAAGGACAGGTTTCTTATTCAAATACTGCACTAAAAGAAGAAACCTCAGGAAACGTTTCTTATTACAAAGTAAATTAACCACAAGCACCTGCTGGGCCGTGATGTGCTCAGCAGAGAGTAGAACAGATGCACCGCCCCGTCTTTACTCTGTGCACAGTCCAGGGAGAAGACTAATAGCAGGTACTGGGTAAGAATAATCAGTCATGTAAGAGACTCATATGCTTTGTAAAAGGCTGAAATAAATGGATTATAAAGCTACTTCCAAAACTAAAACTTCATGGTTATTAATTACAGCACTGTACCACAGAAGAATGTAATCATTCTTGTGATAAACAATTGATGAATGAAATATAAAGAACGCAAAAATATACACTTTATATAGGTAGATATGTTTCCACCTAACAAAACCACCACATCAATTTGCCTTCACAAACTCAAAACCAGTTTTAAGCCACATTAACACATCATAACCTCAAATTTTATTTCACTTCAGATAACAAAAACATTATCTTCTTACTCTCATAATTACCTTACCCTATTTTAAATAATTCAAAAAAATTAATGCCTATTATTTTTCTAAGATGTGTTACATCAAATTAGTATACCTTTCCATGGCTTTAGCTGTATAAGGCAAATGCATTTCAATACTGTGTTCATCTTCATCTGTTTGCAGAGACATGCGTTCAAACATTCCTGTCTTCCACAGCTCTCCGTAAACTAGAGATTCCAAAATACATTAGAACAAAGACATTAATGTATGTCCTTATCCTATTAACACAAAATAGCATACGCTGGCAAGAGACAGAAGCAGCAGAGAATTATCCTTCATTTATTAATTTTGAAAAAAAAACTATATTTTGTCTACCAAAATGACAACAAAGATTTACTTACTCATTGTATCTGTAAAAACAGTTACATAAATAATAATTTAAATTTCTCTTTAATCTCTTTTATTGTTTCTAAAATCATCTTGACCTTGATCAAGGCATGCCAGAAGAACTTCTATCTAAATACAGGAAAGTCAACGGCCTACTTGTTCTGGTTAGATAATGTAATTTTGGATCTCATTATTAAATAAATTGAGCGCCATTACTACTTCATATCTCAACTTTCTGCCATATTGTGAACAGAAAACTCACACTAACATTGCCAGTTACCTCAAATTGCTAAATTAAGCCCATAGGGCGGATTACAACATAAACTGTACCATGTTGACTTAGAATGACTTAGCAATTTTAGTCACTCAGACTTTTCTGATAAACTGTACTTAAAACTGGATATTCAAGGAAAAGAAAATGAAGTTTACTATGAAGCTGGGGGTGGGAAACATGAAGACATTTTTACCTTACCACAGAACAATATATTACTCCCTAGATCCTTTACTAGATTTTACCTATATCGATGCTATAAATGGGGTGATCTCTTTCAAAGAAAATTATATCCAGTTTAAAATTCTCCATTTCTCTGCTAGTAAGCTATCCAAATCAACAATTTTCTGAGTGTTTCAATGAGCATTCACTTTGGGCAGTGAAGTGTGTTCCCTAAAACCATCTTGGGGATCAAGGTCGGTAATAATCCAGCCACATTAATAAGATACATTCCAACAACAAACTGCTACCACTCTGTAATACTTAAAACTTCAAATTATTAACACTTAGGTCTAAAACAAAAAAGTAATCATGTGAACTATTTAAAAGAAGAAACTGTTGCATAATTTCTCAAAATAATAGCACCTCTAAAATATTGAAAATAAAATCTGACGAGAAGTAAGCATTAACAGAAATTCATGAAGGTGATTCCTTCGAGGAGAGCAAATTGTTCAGGAAGGCAAGACAACTCAGTAAATTGGGTGATAAGTATACAACGATTATATTACTCTCCAAACGGTTCTGTATTTTTAAGATTATTCTTCTGCAATTATTTACTATTATTCTCCAAAAAAAAAGTGTATAAAGTTGAAAGGTTTTAATTTATACATTTATTATTATCTAGAAGCTGATTTCTAGAATTCCCAGGAAAAATAATAATCAAAATAACAGACATAGTTAAAAATAATGTAGAAAATTTTTGCAGTACTTATCTTTTAATAGTTATATGACTATGGTCTCATTTTTTCCCCATAACAATCATGTGAGAGGAAATGCAGGTCTTATCATCATTATCTATCTACAGTGGGAAAAGAAGACATATTTTTCATCAAGTAGTTGTGCGTAACTAATTTCTTGTCTCATGGTACAATGAGCACATGCTACCTCCCTAAATATAATAACCACAATAGTCTAGACACCGGAAGAAAATCTGACAAAGTTCTGTGGCAAACAAGGTAACATAAACCGTATCTCTTAGGGACATTGAAGATAAATTTTTCCTTGTTTGTTTGTTTTGGTTTTATACAACAGATTAGTTCCAACAAATCCTATTTTTGAAATTCAGATATTAATTATGCTTTTAAATTAACTTAAAATTCCTGTTAGCATAACTTTAGCTATTTAAAATCTGCAAGATTTCTGTATACTTACTCTTTTGGTCAATACGAAGGTCATACAAAGGTGTCCTATATATATCCACACTGGAAAGTGCACATCGAGAGAGGGGCACGTGATGGGAAGGCCCAAGGATGAAAATTCTCCGGCTAGGAGATACACAGCAAAAAACACAGAACAAATGCACTTCTACACAAACACTGTTAAACAGTTACTTCTCTTCCTTCTTAGTGGATTTGATTTCCTAATATTTAGAGTTAAATGCTATTCCCCCAGAATGTATATGCCAAGTTCCAATCTCCTAAAGCTCAACTGGAAACCATATTTGGAAGTAAGATCTTTAGAGAAGGGATTCAGTTAAAATAAGCTCATTAGACTAGGGCCCTAATCTACTATGACTGGTGTCCTTGTAAGAAGAGACACCAGAGAGAGACCCGCCTGAGGAGACAGCAAGAGAGCGGTCATTCACAAACCAAGACGCCAAGGAAAATCCAACTCTGCCAGCACTTTGGTCTTGGACCTATCCCCTCCAGAGCCCTGGGAAAAAGTTCTATAGTTCAGGCCACTCTGTGCATGACACTTCACTGTGGCAGTCCCAGTAAACTGGCACACCTAATAATTTATTCCTCTATAAATTACATTGAACTACTCCTTTCCTTATCTTAAAGGCTTTTAAAAGAATTATGTTCAATAACAAGCCATATCAACTAACAATTTTTTACAACAAATCCACCTGCAATGTATAAAATCATCTCTGTATTCATAATATCCAAGATACATAAAGCTTTCAAAAACCATAATTTTTCAAAATCTTAAGTTACTAAAATCAAAAAAAGTTAACCTAAAATCACCTTCTAAGATTCACTACAGCATTAATAAAATGTGTAATACTATAAAGTTGTAAAAATCTATACATTATTATAAGGACACATTGTGAAAAAGCTATTTTTATCTCTTCAATGGCAGGGAAAAGCAACATCTTACAGCAGAAGAAAATCTATATAATCGCTTTCTCTACTCCCATTCAAGTACAAGTCTGTCTCAAAAACTAAGAGATATGAATATCTTTTACTTGCACTAAAGAGAAGAATTGAGCTACAAAGTAGCTCATACCTTTATCTTGACACCCATTTCCTCTCATTTTATTTCCAAAGTCCAAATCAGACCTACAATTAAATTCAAACTATCCATTTTGTTTTATGACATGCATATGAACTAATCAGCTCACACTCAAAAGAAACAAAACTGTAAGAAGCTCTAGGATGTATAAAACACTACATCCCTAGAAATTCAAACACTATTCACTGCTCTCATGAACAAAGATTAAGAGATGAGTAAGTTCCTGCCGAGCAAGGAACATGAACTTTAGTAATATATTTCTATATTTTAGTGGTATATTTTCTGTAGCTAAGAAAATTAGTAACTTCGCCATATGCTATTTCATATTCTGTGAATGAGAAGGGGAAATAAAGTTGTGAATAAGTGATTCCAGGCTTGAATCTCTGAACTGCCTCAAGATGTAACATAGAGAAAACATTTAAGACTACTAGGACTGCAAGTCAATTCATGCCATCAACAATCATATCTAAAACAAAATAGTCCAAATTACAGTATCCTAAGTGAATGAAACAAAGAAATACATATTTGCTTTCCTATCTTAATAGCACCTAAACATCATGACAATTTTTTAAAGTCCTAACATGGGACATACAGAATGCTAGTTCAGAAATGTGTGGGTGATTTATACCTAAAACCAAGTTTGATATGAACAAAAAATCAAACATAAAAAGTAATTTGATGGAGAAATAAATTTAAACATGTTTTATTTAATATTTTTAATTAACAGAAGGGAATAAATTTCATATAACCCACAGATAACAATTTCTTAAAGATTTATTTATTTTTATTCAAAAGTCAGATTTACAGAGGAGAGACAGGGAGAAAGATCTTCCATCCGCTGGTTCACTCTCCAAGCAACCACAACAGTCGAAGCTTAGCTGATCCTAAGTCAGGAGCCAGGAGCATTTTCCAGGTCTCCCACGGGGATGCAGGGTCCCTAGGCCTTGGGCCATCTTCTACTGCTTTCCCAGGCCACAAGCAGGAAGCTGGAAGTAAAGTAGAACAGCCAGGATATGAACCAGCACCTATATGGCATCCTGGTATGTGCAAGGCAAGGACCTTAGCCACTAGGCTACCACGCCAGGCCAGATAATAATTTTTTTAATGAATCTACTTATTTTAAAAAGTTCACAGAGAGTGAGGGGGCCTGGGGGAGAGAGTGAGAGAAAGTTCCATTCACCATAATGGTTAAGGATGGACCAAAGCTTTACAATTGCTAACAAAAGAAAATTAATAGAAGAAAGCATTGTGGCACAAAATGTAACGCCACTGTCTGCAATACCAGCATTATGTACAGGTGCCAGTATGACCCTGGGCAGCTTCACTTCCAATCCAGGTCCCCACTAATAGCTTAAGGAAAAACAGCAGAAGATGGCCTGGTTGCTTGGGGCCCTGCCACCCACATGGGAGACAAGCCCAGCGTGAAGATCCTGGCTCCTGGCTCATCAGAGTGGCCCAGCCCTGGCCATGCTGGCTCCCTGGGAAGTGAAGCAGTGGATGGAAGATGCGTGTCTGTGTGATCACTAAAGCTCATGTAGCTTCTGTTACTGACAGACTTATGGATCTGCAAGAGTAACACAGGAACAGGAGGACAAGTAATTCTACCTCCCTTCAGTCACAAGGCACTTTGTTTTTAAAGGAGTAAATACATTTTCAATGTTATCATATCATCACTATCATTGTGAGTGTAAATGTTTAACATGAAAGAATAAGTGAAGTGGGGGCAGTAGGCAGTCTACTTGCAAGAAATGTAGTTACCACAAAACAACTCCAAAGTTCGTATTTGTGGAGTTAACATAATGAGTAGTCTGTGAACCCAAAATGTAAATTGCCTTTTTATTTACACCAGCATAAATATTTATTCAATTAATTATTCCAGATAATGAAATATAAGTTCATTTTTTTTAAGGAACAAGAGATATTCTAACTAAAGAATGAAATGTCATATGACTCCAAAGAAGACTTCTTTTAGTTCTCCTCTTCTGTTCTTTATTGAAAAAAGAAGAAACAAAATCAGCTACCAGCTTGAGACTAAGTCAGATTCACAGCTCTGGAACCAGGAAAAAGACTCTGCAACTACCAATATGGAAAATAAATAACTTAGCATTTTTAAAACAGCTTAAACAAAGCAATGTTTTTAAAAGGTAAATCAGACCCTATCACTATTGATATTTAAAGCTTTCCGGCCAGGGCAGTATTCCCATAGTAGCTAAGACACCCATTTGGATGCCTGAATCACAGACCTGTGCACCTGCATTCAATTAACAAGTCTGATCTTTGACATTACATAACACATTACTAGAAACAGGCATATAACTCAAGAGATATTTCCACATATTCTATGTATGATGTTGCAAACATATCCAAGACTAAAAGGTCAACTCAAACTGCAAGCTAAATAGACAAAGAATTTATAAAAAGTACAAAAATATTCGCAGACATGCAGTTTCACAATGCAAATTAGTGTGCCTCCAAGAAACTAAGGAGATCAGCATTGTGGCATAGCAGCCAAACCCTGCAGCGCCATGCCAGCATCACACATGGGTACCAGTTCATGCTCCATTAACTCTACTTCCAGTCCAGCTCTCTGCTAATGGCTTAGGAAAAGTCCCTGCCACCCACAGGGGAGACACGGATGAAACTCCCGGCACCTGGCTTTAGCATGGCTCAGCTTCAGCCATCACAGCCATTTGAGAATTGAATTAATAAATGCAAAATGTCTCTCACCCTCCTTTCTCTTTCAAATAAATTAATAAATCATTGAGAAAAAAACAAAAACAGGGTCAGTTCTGGTACCAGGGCATAGCAGGTAAAGCAGACACACCATGGCACCAGCTAACTCCAAGCTTCCTTTCAAGTGGGCGTTTAGGTGTTAATTTTTGTTATTGTAGGCTAATGTTCATATCATCCTCCCATTTATAAACACCACAGCACTGTTTTAGTCTCTAACACCATCAAAGTACCTGGTTCAGAGTCAGTTAGCAAGCCTTTTCTCTTAAATAAGCTTTATGCATTTATTTCCCTTGGAGATCAGAATACGAAGTTCTTTGCTACTAACCACAGACACAAAAGACAAGTTTATTTGCAAAGAAGCTCCAGTTTCATCTTCTAACCCCTCTCTCACAGTCTTCAGAAAATGACAGGTCATAGCAATTGCTATTAAAATCTTTCAGGTACTAATCAGCCACAATAAGCCAAAGAACCATTTCCTCTTTTAAAACTGTTAAGTCTTTTCAAATTGTAATCATTTTGTACAAACAATTTTAAATTCTATATTCTTTTATCATAAAAATGTTTTCATTTTTCATACCAAAAGTGCACAGAATACCAATGTCCATATACAACTACTACAGTCACTTGGTTATTTACAAACTTCTTGTAATAGTTCAGTTTATCTCATATATTATGTATTTTTATTCCAATTTAATTAACCACTATTTTAAATAATTCCATTGAATAAACTGTTATGTAATGAGCTATTAACTTGGTTCATTATGACTAGGCTGCAGCTCCCACTGGTGTACGTGAGAGCCGAGTATGTAGCGGCTGAATTGGGCTGGGATGGGCTGGTCCACAGCATCCATTGGTTTACGAAAGAGACAGGACTGGAGACAGAAAAGACCCAGCAATCCTAATTAGCAGTGTGTGCATAGGTTGATGTGGGTGACAGAATGAGCTGGACCCCTTGCTGGCAAGCACACACAAGAAACAGGTATGGGATCACTTAAGATGAGATTTCTTTGGGGAATCCCCCCAAATGAACTGCTGAACTCAGAGCTCCAACCTTTGGAAAAACTAGTATCTACGGAGAGCACTCCAATCTTGAGGAAAATGATAGGATTGCGGAGAGCACAGGTCAGAACTGAGCTGCCTCAATGGCTAAGATGGAACCAGTGGATGGCATACCCAATGCACATGAAGGATACGGCCATCCATTGGAGCCTGCGGAGGACATCTGGTACCATAACAGAGGAAGGAAGACAGAGCAAATTGGGTAACTAACCCAGTCAGGCAATGATAGTAAATAAATATCTAGGCAAATGGAGACTCTAAGGTAGACAGAGGATTTCCTCATCTTAGGATTTGGCATGATGGACAGCTTTTCAGAATTATCAAAATCACTTAAGCACAACCCCCGGAGGACGCTCCACATCGGGGACCCTGGGATGACATCCTTATCCCAGAATGGCCCTTCCCCATCCACAGGGACTGAGGCAGATGGAAGGCTGGGTGCAGCTTCTCCCTTTATCTCCCCTCTTCCCACAGATACAGGAAGAAGAAAAAGAAAATCTGGAAACAACGGTCTCATCCACTTTCCCCTGGTCCTCGACCACTACCCTGATCAACTATGTAAACATTTTCAAAAAGAAAATAAAACATTCAGCATCTGGACTATTTGGGGCTTAGTTGTAGCTTAGTATCCCAGCTGTTCCACTGCTGATCCAGTTCCCTGCTGGTGGTCTGAGAAGTGCAGAGAAGATGGCTCAAATGCTTGGACTCCAGGCACCCACAAAGGAGACCTCCTAATTCTCTTCTGGTTTCCAGCCAGGAAGCAAAATAACAGATGAAAAATCTCTGTGTGTGTGTAACTCTGACTTTAAAAACAAATTTAAAAATCTTTTATTTTTGTAAGATTTATTTATTTTCATTGGAAAGTCAGATCTATAGAGAGAAAGAAAGAAAGATCTTCCGTCTGCTGATTCATTCCCCAAGTGGCCACAATGGTTGGGATATGAACTGGCGCTCAGAGGGGATCCCAGCACAGGTGAGGACTACCATGCCAGGCCCAATAAATAAATCTTGAAAAAAGACAAAGAAAAGGAGAGAAAAAAAAGAAATAAAAAATCAGACCATTTCAGAAATAATACAGCCGTGGAAATCACAGCATATTTTATATTGGGACTTGCTAGAATAGAATAATATGGATGTCTAAGCCAGTAACCACATATAATTTCTATGTATTTTATTGAGTTAACAAATTACATTCCTTAAATATTCACTGGATATATATATTGCCAACTGACATGCAACAGAAAATCAATCTCACCATAGACAGTTCTGAATTAAAATAACAACATATGGGCAACTGCCGTGACATAATGAAAAAACCTGTGACTGGTTGCACCGGCATCACCAGCATGGAAACCAGCTGGAATCCCAGATACTCCTATCCTAATCAACTCCCTGCTAATGTACCTAAGGACAAGGACACATCAAAGGACTATCCAAGATCTTGGGCCACTGATCCAGCACGGGAGACCCAAAAGTTTCTGGTTCCTGGCTTAGACCAGCTCAGCTGTGGCCCACCTCCAGCCACTATGGTCATTTATTCAATCAATCAGCAGATGAAAGATTGTGTGGGTGTGTGGGGGTGTGTGTGTGTGTGTGTGTGTGTGTGTGTGTGTGTGTGTGTGTGTGTGTGTGTGTGTGTGTTAGTGTGTTACTCTCTATTCAACTCTGTCTTTCAAATAAATAAAAATACATATTTAAGATAAAAAGGTTTCAGACTGGCACTGTGGTCTGGCAAGCTAATCCTCCATCAGCAGCGTCAGCATCCCATCTGGGCACTGGTTTGTGTCCTGGCTGCTCCCCTTCCAACCCAGCTCCCTGCTTACAGCCTGGGAAAGCCGTTCCCTACCCTTACCTCCTCCCTTTCCTTCCCTCCCCCCGCCCACAGCCACCGAGTTTCAGACGTCAGGAAAGAAGCTCATGGCTTCAGCTCAGCTCAGTCCCAGCCATTACAGTCATTTGGGGAGTGAATCAGTACATGGAAGATTTTTCTCTCCAGCTTCCATTGCTCTGTAAATCTGCCTTTTAAATAAAAATAATTAAATCTTTAAAAATATATATGTATATATTTGATAAGGCCTTTCATCAAATCATCATAAACAAGTGTAGCCAAAATCTTATCTATTTGATAACACTTTTATTACTAAATATTTGTTAAAACTTTTTCAACAAAAATATAATATGCAAATAACCCATCCAAAAATAGGAAAAGAATTCTTTTCTGTCTTAAAACTTTGAAATGTTCAAAGAAAAAGGAATGGTATGTGGCAATCTTCTTTTGAAATTCACAGTTGCTGTGAGTTCTTCTGAGTGCCTGCCTCACCCCATCTAGCAAAGATTTACTTACTAATTAACACTTGACAGGATTAAGATGAGCAACCACTTTGTGTACCCAGGGCACATAACTACAAGCAGACTGGAGCATAACACTGATTAGCATGCAAAAATTAGCTGTTAATGCTTAGCAAACTAATTTTAGTGGTTAGTTCCCGCAGAACCTTCTGGAAACTTGCAAGTTTTCTGTTTCAAAAAGTAGTACACGGCTTTAAACCAATTTCTACTTCCCAGAAAGCTGTCATTGACTCAAAAGTTAACATACTTCAAATACTATCAAATTCTGCCAGGTTTTAAAACATTTCAAGTATCTAAAATTCTATCAACACAAATCATTATTTTAGTAACCACAATTTACAAAGCACTAGGAATATTTTAAGTTAAACACTTCATCTAACTGTTTCTTACTTACGTTATAGATGGATCCACTTGTTTGTAAGCATGGGCAGCACAAGACCCACAGTATGTATATCCTGCATGGCTACAAAACAAAACATGTTCACTTCATCAGAAGGTCAAAATCAAGATACCCTGAAACAAACTTTGAAAAAATAAAACTATGGTAAGCATAGATTGAATGCACAGATTAAAATGTAATAACAATGCAACTTCTGGTAGATAAAATGAACAGTATGTTCCAACTCTAAACTTCAAAAATATATCATTATTGCTTTGTTCTGAAGACTAAAAAAAACTATACGTTAACTTACTTGAAGTCACAAACACAAGACATAAACTTCTGCTATATTTTAAACATACAGAATTTTTCATATCTTTCCTTATTTGCAAGAATGGTGAAACCAAGAGGAAGTCAGATGAAACCAAATCAAGTGCCCTAAACCAACACCACACTGCTGCACCTCTGGTGATGAAGGCCCGAGCCGGCCTCTTACGTCTAAGTGTTACATCTCACTTTCTCCCAAATCACTATTCCTTTTCAATCTTTAGTCTCAGCATTCAGTCAGTTCTTAATATCTAGAAAATGACATTGCTTCCTGAATTACTCATTCTTTTTCAACTCATTCTAGTTGCATGCATCTGTTGTCATTTCCCTTACTGCTTGTTTAACTGCTGAATAGCATGTGGCTAGTGGTTAATGTTTTAACAATTGCTTTGCAGGTAAAACAAACTGGTATAAGGGTGTGTGTATGGGAGTGTGTGTACGTGTGTGTGTGTGTGTGTGTGTGTGTAAAAAAGCTCATAATAAAATTTTACTGATATAAAAAGATATATGGTTTACAAATAATGGTAAAATATATAACATTCTTTGTTGCAAATTCCATATAGCCAACTGTCACTCTCCTGAGACAATCCACTTTTGCCTAACACCTGTAACCAAATGATGGTCAAAATAACAAAAGAATTGAAAAGATTCAGCAATCTCATTCTCAGGTATGTTTGCTTGAAAATCTTACATCAGTACGTCACAGATGTTATCACACTTGGGTTCACTGACCAATATTAAATAGCCAAGTTACAAAATCGAATCAAGTGCATGTCAGCAAAGACTGAATTAAAAAAATGTGGTGTACATATACAAAATGGAATAGTATTTCTTTCAAAAGGAAGAAATTCGTTTTTCTAACAACAGAGATGGGCCTAGAGATCATTATACTGAAACAGGTCAAACCCAGAAAGACTAGTATCTCAAGTTCTCACTCGTATGCGGATTCTGAACATGGAAAGTCCAAGGAGCAGACAGCGTGGTGCGGAGAAGAGGCCAGCAGACAGCAAGACCGGGGAGCAACATTCAAAGCCTCCGAGACGTAAGAGGCCTGTCGGATGAGCTTTGGAGTGTGAGTGTTCACATGTGTTCACCATGGTAACTGTACCCAATATCCGAACACTGCACATTTCAAACTCACTACAAGGGTGGATGGATCACAAAAGTTCTCATCATGGAAAACAGTAACTGTATGAAGAGATAAGCTGGAAAAACTGGATAAACTGGCTTGACTGTACACTATATCCAAAAATATTAACCTTACCTTATACTCTCACAAACAGAAGTATGTATAATTAGAATTTATCATTATAACAAAAGGATTTATATCTTAATAAAAAGACCCCAAATCTCTATAAGAAAACAATTACTCTAATTATTCAAAACAATGTAAATGTCCTGCAAGAAGAAAATTCCAAAGACTAATTTTAAATGATGTACAACACTGCCCTTAAAAACACGTAAGATGGGCCCAGTGTGGTAGCCTAACAGCTGGGGTCTTCGCCTTGAACGCGCCAGGATGGCCCCACTTCCCATCTACCTCCCTGCTTGTGGCCTAGGAAAGCAGTCGAGGACAGCTCAAAGCCTTGGAACCCTGCATCTTCATGGAAGACACAGAAGAAGTCCTGGCTCCTGGCTTCAGACTGGCTGAGCTCCAGCCCTTGGGGCCACTTGGGGAGAACCATAGGACGGAAGATCTTCCTCTCTGTCTTTCCTCCTCTCTTTGTATCTGACTTTCCAATAAAAATAAATCTTTACAAAAAAAAAAAATCTCTCCTTTGTTTGCCTTTCAAATAAATTCATAACAAAACAAAACAATAGGTGGCGTGGCCTAGCGGCTAAAGTCCTCACCTTGAACACGCCGGGAACCCATAAAATCAACAGTTCTAATCTCGGCAGCTCCACTTCCCATCCAGCTCCCTGTTTGTGGCCTGGGAAAGCAGTCAAGGACAACCCAATGCATTGGGACCATGCACCCGTGTGGGAGACCTGGAAGAGGTTCCTGGCTCCTGGCTTCGGATTAGCGTAGCACTGGCCATTGCGCTCACTTGAGGAGTGAATCATCGGATGAAAGATCTTCCTTTCTGTCTCTCCTCCTCTCTGTATATTGACTTTATAATTTTAAAAAAAAAATAGATAGCTAACCTTATTTTACATGTATCCTAGTTTAAACAATTAAGTTGTTTAATAAGCACAAATATTCCATAAAAGAGTGCACTGTGACACCACATAAGCATAGATAATAGACTGTACCACTTAAGTCATTAGGACCCCAGGGACAGGGTATTTGGCGTTGGGTCCACCTGTGGGGTGGGTTCCAGATCCATGAGTCCCGGGGTTGGCACCCCTGTGGGAATTTGGTGTGTAGGCTTGCAGGGACCAGGGGATGGCACAGGTCGGGGTGTGTGGGGGCCGGGGGTCTCATATACAGGACTGGCAGACTGACAGTGGAGTGCATGTGCCAGAACTGGAAAAGATGGAGCAGTGGACAGTTGATCCAGACGCACATGGGGGATATGGCAGCCCACTGGAACCAACACAGGATATCTGGTACCATAGCAGAGGCAGGAGGACAGAACAAATTGGACAACTGCCCCAGTCAAATGATGACAGTGGGGACCTGGGGAGGGTGGGAAATTGAGTGGGCTTCTCCCTTAAATACCCCCCCTTAAATATGAAGCTAACAATATGGAAAACATACTAGTATTATCCACTTTCCTGTAGCCCTTGAACCTTCTTACCCTAATTAACTATGTGAAGAATGTCAAAATAAAATTTATTAATAAGAAAAAAAAAACAAAAAACAAATGATGACAGTGAAAATCTAGTCAAATGGAGACTCTAAGGTGGATTATGTCAGTCAATGGACATTGGAAAGTGTTGCTCATTGATCAGTGAGATGAACAGTATTTCAGAACTATCGAAACCACTGGGCAGAACCCTCGGAGCATGTGTCACATCAGGGACCCTGAGTTAACATCGGGTAGCCCCTCCCACCCCTGGGTTCTGCAGTGGAAGCGAGAAAAGGTACAGGTTCTCCCTTTATCTCCCGCTTCCCCCAAATATAGGAAAAGGAAACTGAAGATTTCAAAACAATGATAATACCCATTCTTCCCTAACCCTCGATCCTTCCCGCCCTGATCAACTATGTAAATATCATCAAAAATTAAAAAATGTTGAAAACTGTAACATATCAACTCTACTCGTGAGATTACAGAAATCAAAAACTGAAATGCCAAAAGCAGAAAGAACGTAAGAGTTAAGACGCAAACTAATACAACTGCAATGTAAAATGTTACATATACCTTTGAAAACATTGACAGCTTCTTAGAAAGGCATACTCCTACCACATGATACAATTACTCAAGTTCTAGAAACAATGAAAGTGTATGTCCACACAAAGATTTGCATGCAAATGTTCACAGCAGCCTACTTTGTAATAGCCAAACTACCAGGAACAATCCAATGTCCTTCCAAAGATTAATGTAAAAAAAACTAGGATTCAGCATTGGGAAAAAATGGGTTAAATCACCACTTGGGACACACACATCTGAACACCTGGGATCAAGTTCTGATACAGTCTCCTGTTAACGCACCTCGAAAACTGCAAATAATGGGTTCCCGTCCCAGAATGTGAGACCTAGATGAGGTCCAGATGCAGGCTGCAGTCCGGCATCCCCCAGCTGCAGCAGGCATGCGGGGAGGAAACCAACAGCTCGGAAGCCCTCTCTGTAGCTCTGCCTTTATCTTTACTCCCACCAGGCTACTCTGCATTTTCATAAATAAAACTCTGAAAAAACCAAGCTGGCAACAAAAATACTGACAAATTTTTAAACATGGCATAATTATTTTGAACATCATGTATCCATTCCCTTTTATTTCTGAAGAGCATTCCATAGTGTGCCAAGGAGCTCCAATCAAAGGAGGACACAGGGTTTTTGTCCATGATAGTTCAGTGTTAAGTGAGGGTCAGTGTGGGGGTTATTTACTTCTTATCTCAAAAAAACTAATTACTACATAATATGAAATTGTTGTTAACGGAAGTATCTTCAAGGTCATAGGAGAACAATTCTCAATGCAGACACTCTATCACATATTCTACTGTGAGGATTTTCAACAAAGAAGACATGAAGAACACTAAAAAATACTGAGAATGCAAACAATGGTCAGAGCTAGCAGACCTGGTCGCAGCCACTTGGGCAGTGAATCAGTGGACAGATGTTTCTGTCTTTCTTTCTCACTGTAATTCTGATTTCCCAACAAAAATAAATAAATCATTTTTTAAATGTGTCTTTACGAATTGCACTTTTAGTAAAAGTAGGAACCTTAAAATCCATGTTCTAGATACACAGCACTGCTTGCAGGGCTGCAGAATTAGCATCTCTTCAGCCGTATGATCAGCTAGTAACTGATTCCTACTCCTCCTCACCAAACTAAAAGCTGGAATAAATTATTGGCAGTGGCTAAAAGCAAAACGGCAACATCAGCAGGTATTGGGAAAATAAGTTATTGATTGAATCTGACTATATATATCATATTGAGATTCTGTGACAGATCAAATAATAAAAGCTACTGACATGATCGTTACAGAAAAACAGTTAATTTAAAATTTTCATAGTTATTTGACATGAGTTGGGCATACTTATTTCTTGACACAAGTGGATTAATACTAAGGATTAAACTGGCAGCAAAGGCATACGACATGAAATGTTTTTAGTGGGGATATGGTACCTCTAAATGACTATTAATAGTAGCTA